CCTATGCTGTGAGAAAGCCAGCAGTCAGACAGGAACGAAAGTTTAGACGACAAGAGATTGCCACAACCAACAACAAAACAGCCTTCTCCAGGGCTACCTAAATAAACTATAAATGACATACTAACTTACTGCCATAATTGTTTGTCGTTGTGTCTTTAAGTAGGTAACACTAAAAGTGTGCCAAGAAAGACTTCATTTCTCTGACTTGTAAGATAGTATATGTGCTTTCTATCTGTATGAGTGGCAATAAAGTATTTTTGCAGGAAAACAGAGATCGATAGTGTTTCGGTTAGATCAGCGCGTTCATTAAGTTTTGATTATAATTTGGGTATTCTTAGTTATTGTTAATATAATGTTTTCCTTCACATCCTTGCTATAGTGATATGAAGTAGAGATTTCCTCAGTATGGCTACCCCAGCGAGCACTCGATAACATTCAAGATGAGCAGAGTAAGCATTGGTGAAACTCCAAATTCACTTGGAGTATGTCAGGCGTCACTTGGATGAGCTGGCCATGGAGGTCATTGGAGAAAGTGCACGACTTGAATAAGAGGATGAAAACAGAAGAAAGAAGAAAATGAAACGCAAATACACATACTGCCTCACCTCATGGTTAGACCTCAATGTAAAGTCAAGCGTGAGGTGAGGACACCATCAATATCACCACGGTATCCACAGACACAATCACTACTACCAGTAACAAGAGACTCTGTCCCCCAGATGACTACATGGGAAGAGGAGTTGAAAAGACAGCGGCAAGAGTGGGAGCCGTAAAAAACGCAACCACGACAATCACAGCATCCACTGGAAACAAGTCTTCATTTTCCCTCAAACTGATGAATGGGTTAGTGAAGCCATCTCTGCACTCCAAAGAATAATAATAAAAAGGGAACAAAATTGGAGTAGGATATGCATGTGTGGTGCCCGACCTGGCAGGTGCCAACATGAATCAGGCACATTTCGAGTAAGAAAAGACAACCAGATCTCTAGAAAAGAGAGATTGATCAAGTTGCTAATCATATAATTATGAGTACGTGTGCGTGCATAGGTTTTTGTTTGCATGTATTTGTGTATGTGTGAGCGCTTACTTCGTATATATATATATATATATATATATATATATATATATATATATATATATATATATATATATATATATATATATATATATATATATATATATGTGTGTGTGTGTGTGTGTATGTGTGTGTGTGATTCTGTTTATGTTTTTGTTCTTTTTTGCCAAAAGCGCTTATCCCTAACCACATGACATTTGGTATTGTGTGTTTTTTAACAAAAAATTATTTTAGCTTAGCAATCCTGTCACTGTTAAGTGTTTGGTAGGTGACATGAGTAGTTGGCGAGAATGGACGTTTGCATTCTCTTCGGTGTTTGAGTGGTATAACCTGATGCGTTCGTCAGTCACGCCATTCAGCATTGAGTAACAAAAGATGACAAGCAATTACGTCAACAAAATGCAGAATTTGCAAGACACGGTGGACGATATAGGAATAACTGAAGAAATGGATAGGTTGGAAGATGGATGTTATAGTCATTACAGAGTAAAACTGGAGATCAATAATTTAAGAAAGGTCAAGAAAACACTCATGTAGCTTAATGAAGAGGAAAAGGAGGAGAAGGAGGACAACGAGGAAACCTAACAAACGAGAGCCTACAATGATAAGCTTGAAAAAGAACAGGAGAATGAAACAACAAATAAAACAAGAAGAGAATAATGAGGAGGAGAAAGAGAACATGAAGAAGAAATCGGATGGATAAGATGAGAAGATGGTGGAGAAGAAGAATAGGGGAGAGAAATTAGAAAATATTAAGGGGCCCTTTTCAGGATCACTTTCTTACCTCGAAAACATCCATCATCTCCTGTTTAGGTGATCTTTTTTGTGACTGATTTGTGTTCATAAATCGATGTTTGTGTAAAATGTATATGTCTATGTCTATGTCACTAACCCTTTCTCTAACCACGTTTTTATGTATATGTCTCTGTTTTCCCTAGAGTAGCGCGTGTTCATATATCGACTAGCCACTCTGTTCCTCCCGATTAAGGTCAGCCACTTGCAATATTGTTGTCAGTGTCCAGTAGCGTGATGTCACCCTCCGCCAATTCCTATGGACCCCAGATAGGCACAATCCAATGCCGGTATACATTCCCTATGTTCAATTAAACTTGACCGTATATTAGCACAGCATGTTAAAGTCCCATATATCCAATAGTGCGAACGACCAAATTTAAGACAACGACCCCATAGATCATATTGACGCTACTCACTCCTTGCGATTAAAATCAGCTATACCATCCCCAAACAAAATTTCGATTTCAAAATTGTCTTTTTATCTTGAAAAGTAAAACACCTTTGTCCAAGTGTTTTAATTTAACATTTGGATGCGATATATGAATGGAGTATACGCTAATGATCATCTGACCGTTGCTTCTTTCGTTATTAACATGTGCATCGGTTGACAAAAGTATTTCATCCTACAAGTATTGCTATTCGGTGTGTGGACGTTCTAATCAACTTCCTTTCATTGCGTCTTTCATTACCGTTCTATCCTCCTCACTTTCGTCATTATTGAAAAATGACGCTGACGATAATCACGTAGTCACTAAGCAGCCGTTTAGTCACCACGTCAATAATAATCATGACACCAGAAATTAATTAAATTTGCATTTATGCAGCAGGAATTTAAGTATTACTGCTTTCTTAATTTGTCACAAGAATGTGATACACTAGCGTTACACACACAATCCCAAACATTATGATAAATCCACAAAAATATTGTTCCAAAGAACTTTTAGTACTTTATTTCGCTATGTTAAATCAGCCATACATATATATATATATATATATATATATATATATATATATATATATATATATATATATATATATATATATATATATATATATATATATATATGACAAATGCTTGATTTCGACTCTATATATTTCTGTTGAAATAGTTCCAAAACATTGACATATATCTGAACTATTAAAGTGAAGTCTGCTAACGAGCGATGGGATCCGGTCATGTCCTGTTCAATCAAAACATAACTAGAATCACATTCATCTTATATTTCCACAACAAATAAAACTGAACACAATGACTGCCGAGATCAGTGACAAATTAATCATTGTGATCTATGATATTTATTGAATATTTGTAGGTCCCATCAACATGTGAATTTATTTGCCTATACATTGAATATACAGTAATATTAATTCTATACAGATTGTCCAGAGCCTCGAAACCTTTTGAACATTTCCAATGGAATGCTCTAATGTTTTGCTCCATTGTATAATACAGTTTCCATAACTATTGTGTAATTTACGTGAACATACAAATAATAACTTAATATTCTTACGTATATGTGATTAAATTGCTTTGTGTATGTTTTAAAATTCTTTTTTATTTAATTCTTGTTTCATTGTACTTTATTGCAATCAATGTTTTGTCGGATTCGAGATTTTTTTCTCAGTATTGAGACATTTTCTTTTAAAAACTTTTGTTTTATTTAAGACGAAGAAGTATTACGTAAGTATTATTTTTCTTCGCTTTGGGCTGGTACAGTATCAACAGGAAGTTAAAATGATTGGTCAGTGTCAGGGACATACTTTCTTTGCGTGACCACTATGTGTAAACAACACTTTTTATAATTGGTTCTTAAGTGGGGACAAATTAGTCTACGTGTTCCAGTTCGTGTAGCATGAAACCACATGCCCAATCTAGCGATACTTTAAATGAAATGATGGGATTTTGGAATTCGCAATCCTAATATTTGTCGTACAAAGTCATTCAACACCTTGAAGGAACAATGTGTATTTTTTAATTTGTTGCCAGGCATGTTTGATCTTTCTCTGATTGTTAGATTTAATAATTTATTCCCTGGAAACTCAACAAGTTGTCGTTTTATAACAATTCTGAAAGATATTCATGGAAATTTGTTCTGGAATTATTCTGAAACAAAGACTGTGATTCACATGAGGAATTGTTGATATTCGTATATTGAACCACATCTGACGTCATCGCCTTCCATATTTCTACGTCGTATGGACACATGTCTGGATTCTAATAGGACTATTTAGTAATAGGACATGCGTCTTCATTCTTAGAATCAAATTTTAGATTGTATTCACAAACTGTTAGTCCTATTTAACAATCATTACATTATTGTCCAGGGAAATAAATTGTTTTTTTAAAATATGCAAAACTTGTTGACATTCACTTATTTCTTTGTTACTGAGAATGATTCCTTGTCAAGTAACAATATTTTATAAAATGTAAAATGGTCGCTATCGCTTAATATGCATGAGGCGGCTGCTCTGGATTTTGTGCGGTTTTTCATGTCTTATTCGTTTGCTGACTGTTCATCGTCCTTTATTCGGTTATGGAGGGGGAGATAAAAACTGTCTTTTGTTTTGAACAAGAGGTCATCACGTTATGCTCGACAATTGACTCGTTTATGCTTAATGGTCATTATATAGGCCTTTTTTCCTAATAAAATCAAAGCCAAAATAAGCAGTTAATTAGTCAAAGTGTGTGTGTGTCTAACACCTTCAGGCAGTTCTCTATCAATTTGTCGTTCCCATGCCACTGCTGCGGAGGCAGAATTGCTGTCGTTGAAACAAACAACATCATTCATCGTCTGAACTACATTTGAAATTTCAATTTCAAACACACATCGTCTGAACTGGTCCAAACTTCACCCACAATGGATAGTCGGTCCATTTTGTCTGCCTCTAAAAACATGCTGAATTAATTTCTCTTTTTTTTGGAGTAGTTCCCTAACCCCCGTAAGTAAGTAAGTTTAATAGGCTGCAACCTGATTCTTCTATCCTGGAACATTGAATGCACGGGAAGCCGATAGTTTGGATCATTGACATCCAGAAACAAAGATTTCATTAATGCTATCTTCTATTTTATTACATGTGGCTATTGATATAAATATGCCGACAATAGCACTTTGTCCTTTGCTTCGCAACCGCTCCGGTGGCTTAGTGGTTAGAGCGTCCGCCTCTGATGTGGGAGGTCGTGGGTTCGATCCCTGGTCGGGTCATACCAAAGACTTACAAAAATGGTACTAACAGCTGCCTCGCTTGGCGCTCAGCATCAAGAGGTTAGTGTTGGGACTGGTCGGCCTGGTGTCAGGATAATGTGACTGGGTGAGACATCATGCTACATGTCTGCGGCATGATGCCCCAGTGCTAGACATCACTATAAAGTGCCATACTGCAGACGTCGTAGCAATATGACTAAAACATTGTTAAAGCTACGTTAAAAATCCAAATCACACCCTTTGCCTCGCTGAATTTCGACACTGATAAACATTTTTGAAGCATTCCGATTTCAAAGTTTAATGATAACACAATGCATACCAACCTTGAAACGTTTCGAGTACTATCTGTAAGTAAAACATATCAAACCTGTACTAAACATAAACAGTGTTGTCATAAACTGGAAATAAATTGTCAAACTTCTAGAAGCTGACACTGATTATGAACGGCATAGCGATTCAGATGTAAACAGTCTCTTTATAAAGGCTTCAATACAACTATTTTTCACAAACGTTTTAGTCAGATACTGACTAGATTTAAAAAGTTGACAAGCTAGTACATTTAATCTCTCTAGTTTTTAAATATTTGTCCTTCAGCTCGTCATATCGGCAATGATATGAACATTACAAAACTTGCAAAATTAACAAGAGTGTGTACCCAGCTAACACACAACGTTTTCACAACGTTGCTGTTTGGTTGTTTGGTTGTATTCTGGTTACGTTGGAAATTAACGTTTTGGCAACGATAATACAACGTCACACATGAACATGAACTAAATTAGTAATCTCATCTAAAAAAATATAGTGAATTACAAAGTGTATGTATATGCATTGATTCTGATAGAATTGACAGGAAATAATATATTTTTTTACAAAGGTAGTATATAACGTGTTTTCAACGTGGTACTATCGTTGTGGTTAACTTTTCAGTGTCAGGGTAACAATTGTAGTTTCATAGTTTATTTTCAAAACTAATAAATATAAGAGGGTTTCAACTTTTGCAGCAAAATAGTTTACTCGTCGGTTTTTTTTCAATCACAAACATGTGATGATGTCTTTGCGTTGACAATATTCTACGTATCTACGATCCGAGGTCTAGCTTATCCAGTACGGTAGTTGTTGCAGAGACGAATCTCCAGTTTCCAGCTATTTTGAACTACGAAGGTATGAACTTTAAATAGTTAACATAAAATAACATTTTTTGTTGCAAACATATAACGTTTGGTCATTGGTTGATGCCATTGTGCACATGTATACTGCTACAATCTAGGCGAGGCAGTGTCATTCCATGACCTCAATCGCATTTTCCAGCAAAGAAAATGGGTCAACTATCGGCCAATATGTTCAGCCTATGAAATGACCTAACTGTTTGGCATATTTCTGTGACTTTTATCCGACTCGTATCAAGTAAATTATATTGTTACACTGGTACATTTTTGGAAAGAAAAATATCGAGATAGTATAGGTTTGTGTGGTAAATTACCGTCTGTTGGGCTAACATTTCGAATCACGAGCTCTTGGGTAAAGAGCGTAAGATTTATCGTTCTTGACTGAAACGTTTTTTTTAAATAGCAAGTAATACAAATAGTAATCAATCACAACTGAAATTTAAATTAATTTATGTTAAAACATATGTCTACATATGCTGATATACTTAGATGTGAAAAAAATGCATCTTAAATGGTAATTAAATTTTGACAATTACTGACAGGAATTACAGTTGTAAATAATGTAATATTGGCATGTTTTCAGTGTAATTATGTACATGAACTTTTTGCAATTAATAAACCACAGCAAATGTGAATAACATCTGTCATCAGCTATGCAGCATATTTACTAATTCATAAATGGGTGTTCTTACTTTCACTGGAAATTCATGGCTGTATGTCATTTGTGTGATTGGGGATTTGACTTAAAATATAATCTTTTATTTCATTTACAACTCTCTATATATGAGTAAGTCAATTATACACTGTATTCATGAATTTAAGTCTAATCTAAAGTAGTATAACTGTTTTATGTTACAAAATGTTGGGTAAATGTGTGGCAGTACAAAAACTGCATTTTGCAGCATTTAAAAGCATTTGTTCAATGCACATCAGACTCGTCACTTCAGTTGATAATAGTCTTGTCATCTTGTAGACATTATAAATGTTTGTGTTCCGTACTAACTTCATGAACGTTGAGTCAACACCAAAATTTGTTTGAAAATGGAAAGCATAAGTTTCAGTTGCTCAGACACATTTCTGAACATTGTGAACATTGGTTAAATTATAGGTTATAAAACATACTGTACAAGACTTGTGCATGTAAACAATATTTACAATGGTTCTTTTTTCACTGATGTGTCTACTCTGTTCATGACTACATTTGATTTTTGTATTTTCCTTTCTTAGGTATACCAGTGTCATCTCTAAGTCTGATACCAAAACCATCCTCATTGAATGCAATATTTCAGATGCCAGTAATGAATCAAGACATCCAGGGAGTAACAAAATACAGAATTACACAGACAGTAAGTTTTTTGTTTCAAATAAATTTTACAAAAACAAGTATTTTACTCCATAAATAGTTTTAATTGTTATACCTGTTTACTATACAGATATTTACATGGAGTTAATAGCAATGATTTTGATCTTTCAAAACAGATGCTTATAGTATCATAAATCTCTTCCAGATTTCCGGCTTAGTGTACTTATGAAACTGGACACAATTATTGAGAATCAGCAGACGCTGCTGGCCCTCCAATGGAAAGTTTTAGTAAACACACATGACAGAGACACAGAATGTGCAGACGAAATGCTTGTAATGCCATGAGATTCAGTGGAGGAACTAGAGGGCGAGAGGATGGAGGAGAATACAGAATTCACCAAGATGATGGTAAGTTGGGGCCTTACTTTCTCATATAAAACTGTTTTCGTGTCTATAACCTTTATTTACTGTTGTAAACCTCAATATGCATCCTACAAGTACTGGGGCACCTGCATAATTATTTTTAAGTGGTGGGGAGAACTTGTAGTTTTACAGATCTAGGCCAAAACATATTTAGAGAGGAACATGTACAGGGTTTTAGTACATATACACTGATATATATTTTTTGGCTATTTTAATTCAGTCTTAGAGTGAATGTCATGTATGCAGTTAAATGATTCATGGTGGTTAATTTGTTTTATAATTGCTTTTATTACATTGTGTTGCATAGTTGCTGTTGTCAAACTGTTTCAGGTTTGAGCAAACAATATTGCATGCAAAACTCATGTAAAAAAAACTATTAAACCATATGTTGTCACATTATTATTATTATTATTATTATTATTATTATTATTATTATTATTATTATTATTATTATTATTATTATTCTTTTCAGATATAGTATTGGAGCTCCCTTGATGTGTATAATATTGGGGATAGTGTCTGCAGGCTGATGAAAAAGCTAGGAACAAAAAGACAGTGGTCAGAGTATAGCCTAAAGGGGCGTAGAAGGAAAAACCATTTCAAGAGCTTCTGATATGCTGGCTTTTGATAAGTATGTATGACTTGATTTTCAGTTGTCTGTTTTTCATGTGACTTGCCAGAGATTTGTAAATGAATGGATAAATTACATGTTTCTTCACACACATATACTGCAATTATTTGTATTTGAAGTAACTTGAGACCAAATTTCAAAGTCTGTTTTATAAATACTCCATTAATTATTGCTGGTATTTAGAATAAAGAAATGTGTCCTTTGTTGTAAAACTCCTTTTAAAACATTGTGTTACTCTTGCAGAATCCTGCTTGAAAAATAATGGCAAAGCAAAAAATAATGCAATCGAAGAGGTCATATAGGAGATCCTAAAATATGCAATAAAATAAACCAATGACCTATCTATATGCTGTAAATGCTGTGGCACAAATCATACAAGTTGAAATTAACAAATAATTGATACTTAAGGATCATCCATAAAGGATGTCTACAAAACATACTGTAATACAAGCAGCAAGCCTAAAGCAGCTGTTCAACACGTAATACCATAACAGAATATACTAGCTTGCTGACATCCCCAAGGTCCTTTACACCCCCTTCCCCTTGTCTGCATTTGACCAACCCTTCCCTCCATCTGTGCAGACATCCTTTATGGATAATACTTGTCGCTGGTTAATGTGACTTTTAAATATGTAAGCATTGCTGAGATGATATTTGACTTTGTTTAAGCATTAACATTATTTTTTTAATTTGCAGGTACCTGAGGAGAAGAAACATAAACCTTAGAGTGGAGGAGGAGACTGATTCTGATTCCTGATCTTAATTAAATCTTGAAAATAAACAAAAAGTGATATTAAAATGTATATTGTATTGTTTCTTTTTTCATTTTTGTCTCTTAAAAACTACTCTCTGAACCTTCAGTGTGTAAATTCAGGGTTATTCCTTATCAGGCAAAAGCAAAAGTCGTGTGATTTAACCGTCTACTTTTACTTTACACCCAGTACTTTTAAAAAAATTAATTATCCCATTGGGGTTGGTCCTCCATAACCCCAGTCTACTTTATCAACCCACCTGTCCCATTTAAATAAAATGGTAGGCCCTGCTGTAAAGCTTGTTAGGAAAAATACCCAACAAGAGGATTTGATACTATGAACAAAAAGCAATGTTTGTATATTTGTATATAAACCATGTTAGAAAACCTTCACACTTGCACTGAAACTGATTGCATACTTCAGAATGGACATATTATATAATATGTATTGTTCCTAATTTTATTATTCTTGTTCCGTGTATGTACAGATAAATAAAAATTCTAGACTATATTGTGCATTTTTATATGTGCTACTTTAAACTAATTTTTGATAGCTGACATGTTACATGCAGAGTGCCAATTCGTACAATGTTGGAACAATTAGTGTACCCTGGCATATTATTATTATTATTATTATTATTATTATTATTATTATTATTATTATTATTATTATTATTATTATTATTATTATTATTATTATTATTATTATTATTATTATTATTATTA